CCTTCAGCCCCCACCACCACCCCCCAGCTCCCCTTTGTCTGCCCCCACCATGTGTCCCTACTGAAACCCCAACCATCTACCTTTTTCTTTTGGTCCCATCTACCCAGGGGAAGCCACATGCAGGCCAAGAGCAGCCTGAAGACGATGCTGCAGAAGTCCCTCAAAGGGAACCAGAGATGAAGGAAAAGGGGGACGCAGAACATCCGAATGAGGTGGAAGAAGAGGAGGAGGAGGAGGATGACGATGAAGATGAGGATGAACGGCAGTTACTGGGGGAATTTGAAAAGGAACTGGAAGGGATACTGCTCCCGTCAGACCGAGAGCGGCTCCGTTCGGAGGTGAAGGCTGGCATGGAGCAGGAGCTGGAGAACATTATCCAGGAGGTGAGCACAGCTGTTCCTCCTTTGCCTCTGTAGCTGTCTGCTCCTGTGGGCAAGGCAGGCTGAGGGGCTGGAAGAAAGCAAAGGTCAGCACCTAGCACGGCATGAGGCCTGGCCAGGCTCTCTGAAATGTTAGTTTACTTAATTAAAAGGGGGGATGGCAGGGAAGGGGAATCAGAGAGAGGGATGGTCTTAGACATGACTCTCCTGTGGAGCATGGACCACTAACCTTCACTGCCCCTTGACTCTCCATTCCCCACTTGGACACTCCAGACAGAGAAGGAGCTGAACCCAGATGGGCTGAAGAAGGAGTCAGAGCGGGATCGGGCTATGCTGGCCCTGACATCCACTCTCAACAAACTCATCAAAAGGCTGGAGGAAAAGCAGAGTCCAGAGCTAGTGAAGAAGCACAAGAGAAGGAAGATTGTCCCCAGAAAGCCTTCCCCCTCCCTCCGACCAGCAGGTGAGAGCTGTCATCCGGGAAGCCAAGTCCCTTGTCTTTATCCCTCAGCAGGAGGGTGACATGTTCTTTCCCTTCTGAGGGGGCTCACTCTCTTCCCTGTTTCTGAAACACTGCTCTCACTCTTGCCTTCTTTCCACCACCTCCGTCCCTTTGCCTGGTTGTCTTCTATTCATCCCTTTGGGAAGCAGCTTCTAGAGCATGTCTATCTTGTTTTCTGACTGGCTTCCATACGCCCAGTGCTTAGCACTTTGACAGACACATAGTGGGTGGTCAGTAGATCTTAAATGAGTTACAGTGAGCCTGTGTGCTGAAGACCACACATCTGTGCAGGATGCAGCCCTTCAACAGTTAGGACTTTGCACCAGGAGAGACCCCAGTGGGCAGGCTGTGAATAGGCAGCCAGCTGCTCGTAAAGCAATTGCCTGGACAGATTTGAAGTAATCTCTTCTTCTTGCACCCTCTTGTGTCCATTCCGTGCGTGGGGTTCTATGGGTGTGGAGATCAGACATTCCAAATGGAATGTTAGTTTCAAACATTCCATCCTACTTTCTCTATAAACAATTGAAGTGTCTTTTGAGCACCAACATGGGGAGTGCCAAACCACAGCTTTTCAGCCTGCTGCTGCTTTCTTTCTTTTTCAAATTATAAGAGAAAGTTTATTAGGAAGTTACAGAGGTAGTAGAAGTGAGCCAGCTGGGCTGTGTAGGCTTATGAAACAAGTTACAGAAGCAGTCCAGCTGGTGTGGCTCAGCCGTTGAGCGTCAACTATGAACCAGGAGGTCACAGCTCCATTCCTGGTCAGGGCACATGCCCAGGTTTTGAGCTCGATCCCCAGTAGGGGGCATGTAGGAGGCAGTGGATCAATGACTCTCTCTCATTATTGATGTTTCTATCTCTCTCTCTCTCCCTTCCTCTCTCTGAAATCATTTAAAAATGAAAGAAAGAAAGAAAGAAAGAAAGAAAGAAAGAAAGAAAGAAAGAAAGAAAGAAAGAAAGAAAGAAAGAAAGAAAAGAAAGAAAGAGAGAGAGATGGGGGGAGAGAGAGAGGAGGGGGAGAGAGAGAGGGAGGGAGGGAGGGAGGGAAGAAAGGAAGGGAAGAAAGGAAGAAAAGAAAAAAATAAAAGAGAAGAGAGAGAGAGAAAGAAAGAAAGAAGAGAGAAAGAGAGAGAGAAAGAAAGAAAGAAAGAAAGAAAGAAAGAAAGAAAGAAAGAAAGAGAGAGAAAGAAAGAAAGAAAGAAAGAAAGAAAGAAAGAAAGAAAGAAAGAAAGAAAGAAAGAGAGAGAGAGAAAGAGAAAGAAAGAAAGAGAGAGAGAAAGAAAAGAAGGGCCCTCGGAGCTTAGGAGAGGGAAAGACAAAGGTAATGGGCCTGGGGAAGAAGAGGTGGAGGGAAAGGCATAGGTGTGCTGCTGAGAGGGAGAGTGGGCCCCTGCTTCTTAAAACAAAATTTCTTTGTAGGCCCAGGGTGGCCTAATTTTTGCGTCAGAAAACAGTTGTTTTCCTGTAGGTGATGGGTAGAATTATTGGCTCTGGACAGAAGGGAAGCTGCAGTTGGTGGGGGGAGCTTTATAGGCCGGAATGGAATGGAATGGACTGATTTATTTTGGGCCCTGGCTCATATGCATGTTTGAGGTGCAGTAACTGCCACAACCAATAGATGGCTTAGGGAGAAGTGACCACCACAGCCCCTAACCCAGGAGTCACGGCTCTGCTTTGTGTCTCCCTGTGTCTCCCCCTCTAAGAGGAGGATCCTGAGCACAGAGTCCGGGTCCGGGTCACCAAGCTCCGTCACAGAGGCCCCAATCAGGATCTGACAGTCCTCGAGATGAAACGGGAAAACCCACAGCTGAAACAAATCGAGGGGCTGGTGAAAGAGCTGCTGGAGAGGGAGGGACTCACAGCTGAAGGTGGGCCCTGGGGGGCGGGGCTGGATAAGAGCTGTTGGAAGGGCTTGCTGCTGGAAACGGAGGGGCTGGGTCAAGGTGGACTAGAAACCTCAGCTGGGACCTGGGGGACAGAGGATCTGCACTGAAGCTCCCCTGCTTTGTCTCCTCTCATTGCCCATCCCCCTTCTTTCTAGGGAAAATTGAGATCAAAATTGTCCGACCAGGGGCTGAAGGGACTGAGGAGGATGCACGCTGGCTGACTGATGAGGACACGAAAAACCTTAAAGAGATTTTCTTCAATATCTTGGTGAGAGGAGCCCTACCTCCAAGTCCTGGACCTCCAGCCGGCCCCCTCTAGTGTACCATGGTGTTGAGAGCCTGGTTAAGTGACACAGGCAAATCCCAACCTTGCCACTTTCTAAGCTTCATTTTCCTCATCTATAAGAGTGGCTGGTAGTTCTGGCAGCTGGGTGTTTGGGCCCTTGGCAAGAACCCTGTAAGAAGTGGGTGCCCATCCCTGCCTTCTGCATGCTACTAGTTCCTGGATCCTCCAGTACCCAGTGCTCCCCTGGGCTCACCTGCCAGCACTCCAGCTCACCCCGTTTCCCCCTCACCAGGTACAGGGAGCTGAAGAGGCACAGAAGGAACGGCAGCGACAGAAAGAGCTGGAGAGCAATTACCGCAGGGTGTGGGGCTCTGGAGGTGGGGAGGGCACAGGGGACCTGGATGAGTTTGACTTCTGAGACCACTACTACCATCGGTTGGCCAAGGAGTCCAGAGTCTTCCTAGATTGGCCCCACTGCCTCCCCACTCATCTCCCACCCCCTGGGACCCTGAAGGTAAAACAGTAGAGTAAAGCTGAGCTGTGGACTTCTGGGGCCCCAGCCAGGGGTGTAGAAGGGCCATGGGGTGAGTACTGCTGCTACTGCTGAGAGCTGCCCTGAAGACCACCCTAGCCCTGTGAGTTTTGCTCTCTGAGGCTTCTCCCCACATCCCCTGCCTGTTATGTCCCTTAACTTGTTGGTCCCTGTTCCCTCCCTACCTAGAGATCTTTTGAATGGAGTAGAACAGGGGAACAAAAAGTGTGTGCTGTGTAATAGGCCCTAAGAGACTGGCCCTGACCCTGCCCTGCTGCTATTGGGAGTCACCTACCCCCTTCCCTTGGATTGGATTGGGATTTCCTGCTCCTTTCCCTTCCCATACTGTTCCCTACAATCTGTGCTTCTGAGTTGAGGTGCCTTCCTCTGTTGCTGAGAAAATGGGAGAAAGTTGCCCACCACCTCTGACACAATCCAGTGAAAAGGGTGGGGTACAGACCCACCCATCATGTTGTTGAACAATCAGGTTTCTAAATAAAGAACTGGACCATCACTCCATTAATGTGTTTTTTTCTTCTGTGGTGGAGGGGGGTGGGTAAGTGGGGTGGGGGCTCAAGTAGGGAAGAGGCTTGGTGCTCCCTTCAGGGTGGAGCACACAGTCTCATCCTGTTCTACAATCCTCTCCTCCCAGGTGGTATCAGTGGGGGCCTGGAGTACAGGAATAGACCAGGACAGATAAGCAAGCCAGACCACTGGCCTGGCAAAGACTGAAACACCTACAGTCCTGTCATCCCTCCTTTTCCTTATCTGTCCATTTCTGTTCATTCTCCTCTCCCCATTTACTTCCCTGAAAGCCAATTGCACACCCATGGTGTTAGCCTGCCACCGGCTCTCCCTTCTGCTGAACTCTCTCCCTGTACCATGCTGCAGATCCTACTTGCCAGCCATATCCCATCCACACCTGGCCACACCACTCAACATCTCCCAGGAAAAAACCTCTTCCTTTAGCCATGCCCAGAGAAAGGGCTGCTGCCCACAAGGCTAGCTTCATAATATGCCAAGGCGTCTCCATTTCTTCCTCATCATTGCCAAGTGCAGGTGTGGATTCACCCAACCCCTCCTTTTGCTTTCTCCCAATCCCTGAGGTGTACAGCATTTCTGCTGAAGATGCTCCACTGACTCACAAGGTAAGAAAATAGCTAGAGGGCATGGAACTGCCAGGTCTCCGAAAGTGGAAAGTGGGATTCGTTATTGTTGAAGGAGGTTGTATGAGACTGACCCTCTTCTTGCTGACTGTGTGCCTACTGAGCATGTTAGACTTAAATTGTTTTACTTAGAAATGTAATAGGTAGATGTATAAAATCCTGCTTCCCCAGACCCATTTGTGCATCTTGAAGAGAGGGATGCTGCACTTGTGCAAGATCTGAGACATGGCCTCAAGAGCAGCTGTAGTCGGCATGCTGGGTTCAAATCCTCACCCCTCTTACAGTCAGTGGAGCCTTGAACGAAATAACTTTTCAAGTGCTGTTTCCTCATGGGTAGATCATGGGTAATTATACTGGCCTCGTAGGGATAGTATGTGTCATGCTCTTAGCCCAGTCCCTGGCCCACAGTAAGTGCAGAGGAGTTCTGAAGAGACCAAATGGAGGCAGGAGCCTTAGAAGGAATCCCAGAAGTTGATCAGAAGTTACAATAGGATCTTTTAGAATGTGAAGGTGGGGAGAAGCTGGGACAGGAGGGTTATCTTTGATTTGATGTAGATGGAGTCTCATCAGAAAACAGTTCTGGAATCCTCACTAGATTTAATCATTTTGTACTTCTAATAATAAATTTCTTTTTACTTTCCTTTGGCTTTTGGTGAAAATCCCATGGAGGAGGTTGGTTTGCCCCAGCTGTGCTAAGGCAAACAAGGGGAGTGGAGCAGGGTGTGTGGCAGATAGCAACCAAGTGAGGCGGGGTTGGGGAGGGCAGCTGGTAGCAGGAATCAAGGCAAGGACACCCAGGGCAAGCTGGGAGGGTGGCATGGGTAGCAACTCTCCTTCAGCCCCTCAGGGAGTCCCCTTCTAGAGTCCTATCCTGCCACCACCTGGAGTGTATATTTTGTTACCCATCCACTACCACCTTTTACATCTCCAGCCAGGCCAAAGATGCAGCCCATGAAAAAAGAATCCCGTGGATTACTCAGTGTTGGGATTTGCTGTGGGGGTTCCTGACGCCTTGACTACATTTCACTGGCTGGATATGAAAGGACCCTCCCCCGGCCTGTGGTTCCCTGTGGTAATTCCATTCTCTCCATGGGCCCTGTCTCCTCCCCATACTCTGTCTCACTGTTGAGCTTCTGAAGAAGGAAGTAAACTTTTGCCACCAAGAAGGAAAGATGAAGGGGGAGAATCCAGGGTCTCTGAGCTGTAAGGGAGAATGGCCAGGTCTTCTAGTTGTCTTCTTTGCTACTTGCCCCTCTTCCTCTCACTTTGCCTTCCCAAACCACACCTGCATCTGCATCTGTCGCTGCACTGCACCCCTTAATCCACCTTTTCCTCTATCAGGCCACTGTGCTGGGTGGTCACCCAGCCTAGGATCCTGCAGAACCAGGGCCTCCGTGTGAATGGGACCTGGCCCCATTGCTGCAACCACACCTAGTTAGCTCGGTGGCTTACCTGCAGCTAAATGTCCATCGTGGGGCTGAGGGCCAGCACCAACTCTACTGGAAGACACTGGGCCACTGACTGGTCCATCAAGGTGGATGACAGCACGTGCCCAGCCTGCATTGGCTGCTGGCCCAGTGCCACCCCACCTATCCCTTTCCCAGGGCAAACACTTTTCGCTGTACATGAGGAATGAACAGCAGGACTGGCTGTGCTGAAGCAGGAGATGCTGCAGCTGTTGGAGGCAGCACTGGTCACAGGATGCTATGGCCTCAGTGGTCCTGTAGATGACATGGAAGTGGGCAAATGTCCACTGGGCATGAAGTTCATGGACATCAAGGACCTCTGAGGCTGGGAGATCTTGCACCTCTTCCATCTCGGCCAAGAGAAGAACCCCTATTGTAATCTCTACTTCTGGTACCAGGTGCTCAAGGTGAGCAGGCTAGCCTGGGATAGTCTCCCTGGAGCAGGCCCTGGAGCCCTTACCAGGTGCCCAATATATACCACCCAGGTAACCTAACCAAGGCAACCTGGCTATGAAGTGGAGGGCCTAGTTTCAAAATCAGATCTGACTCCAAAGTTCCTGTTCTTAACCAAAACTGCCCCATCTCACTTCTCCAGGCTGCTCCCACTCCCTTCCTCTCCTTTAAACTCCACACCCTAACTCCTTCCCAGAACTGAGGTCATCTTGGGAGTCAGTGACTTCTCTGCTCCCTGGACCCCCACTGTTGCTCTGACCTGCCTGTCTCCTTCTACTATGTGATCCCAGACCTGTTGTACATGATGGAGTATCTGACCTGCCATCTAGGTGCTCTTGAATATCCTGCCACCAGCCACAGCAGGAGGCACCCTCTGGCAGTCGCCCTCTGCCACCTCCAGTTCCCCACCTTGACCAAGGCCGTTCCCTGACCCGCATCTTCAAGAACAGACCAGCAGCTCACCTCCTAGACAAAATCATTTCCTCTTTAATTTCTGTTGAAGAAGATTCACACCACCTGTCTCAGAGGAGATGGGGGCATTCCCCTCTACCCCCTCCCCTCTCCCCTTCCCAATTATCTGATCTTTTGCAAAATATTTTAGCCAGAAAAAAAAAAAAAGAAAAAAAAGACCGGAAACCACTGACACAGAGACCCAAGGGCTGGGTTGATTGAGGGAGGTGGGCTGGGCCAGGTAAGTCCACCCTACCACCCCCTTTCTGGAGATAGGGCAGGGGGCCTGGAAACCCTCCCAGCCACCTTACACCCTCTTACCCTGGCTGGGAGGGATCATGGGGTTGAGGGATGGGTCTGGAGAAGCTCCAGTGGGAGGGAGGGGCTGGACAGAAAAAATTGTGGGCGAGGGGTCCCATTGTAGGGGCGCCCCTACCCCAGATCACCACGGGTGCTGCACAGTCACAGGTACGCAGTCACGGTCACAGACACTCACAACCCAAGAGCACCCCCACCCCACCCCACCCTCTTCCCACCCTTGG